CAGACTGGGAACATGGCAGTTTCCTGTTTTCTTTATTCTTCATGACTTATAAAATACATAATCACTTTCCTTTTTAATTACCAAATGCTTTTGGGGCCAGTATTGTTTGATGCCTGCAGAGAAATCTTAAAATCTAGTTTCTTTGAAGTTATACATGTTTTTACTTTTTTCTCTGTTTCTTAATGCATAACATGATGAAGCAGTCGACATCAGGTAAGAACATTGTGCTTTATGCCACTTGTATATTAGCACTGTCATCTGTCTATTAAAATTCTCATCTGCCAAGTAGTGTCTTTATGGGAATAAGGAAATTCTGTCGTTAAGTCTTCTTCTCTCCAGGTTGCCTCCTTTTTTTTCTGACTTCTCTTAGGTGCCATCTGAAATCTCTGTTAATATTCCACGTTAAGACTGAGGAAGACTGACAGAAAGTTCTGGATCTTTGGGTTGTTGACCTGGACCTTTATTAGAGGGTGGTATAGCTGATACTCTCCTTTGGGTTATCCTAAGATTCTTTTCAGGAGAGTTTCTTTACTTAATAATTCCAGAGTCCTGGTGTCTCTATTCCCTTTGTGAATCCCTCTCCCCTCTCCTCCTTTTTTTTTTTCTCCCACAAGATCTCTCTATGTAGTCCAAACTAGCCTTAAATGCTGCATTCTTCTACCTCAGAGTTCTGAGTACTGGGATTACAGGCTTTCACCACCATACCTAGGACCTTGGTGAATCTCAAAAATACTTCCAAAAAAGTGATTTTAAAAATCAATTTCACTAGAAAACATAATAGTTTTTTTAGTCATAAAGATGTATTACTAGCCTTTTCAATCAAAGAGTAATTGTTGTTGCCTAATACCAGGAAGAAGTTTTTATAGTATCCAGAATTAAGGACAGTGGCCCCTCCAGCTAACTTGTTTATATGTATTTCCCAAGAAGGAGCTGAGTGTAGTGGTTTTTGCCTATAATCTCAGCACAGAGAAGGCTGAGGCAAAAGGATATAAAGTACAAGGCCAGTCTTAAAAGCTACAATAGAGGTACCATCTGAATAAAATGAAAGTATGAGAAGCAGAGAGAGGATAACTTTTATTGAAAATGGCGTCACTTGTCTGTATCAGACACCTCCACAGGGTAGATGTTTATCCTTCATAAGCATTTGGGCTGAATAATCTGAGCTCTGTTTTCCATTTCAGCCAAATCAACTTCTTACCGTCTCAGTGCTATTTGGTTTGAATAGAGAATCTACCCCAGTGATTCTCTGTGCTCCTTTCCTGGCGCTGGTGGTCACACCCAAGGCCTTGGCATGCTAGGCAAACCACTGAGCTCTACTCCCAGCCACCACCATCCCAATGATGCTCAAACTTTAGAGTACACCTGAATGTCATGAAATGCCTGTGGACATGCAGGTTTTGGAGTTTTATTCTCAGGATTTGATTTCTTAGATTGGGGTAGAGTGACTACACTTTTAGCAGGTACCCCAGATCTCATGTAGATGCTCAGTGGATTATATTTCACTATGTAGTAATGTAAGTTTGTTACCTATAGAACTAGGAAAGTATTTTGCTTATTTGGAGGAAACAGGGATTAAAAAGACTGGTTGTCTGCTTTTCAATAGAGTTAGCTCCTAGAAGTCTGCTAACAGGCATAAGCAATACAGCATTTATATCCTAGCAAGCAGGACCACTAAACTTGCTAGCCATTCCACTCCACTGGCTGTTCATCTGAACACCCTGCAGCCCTCTCCAAACCAGTGCCCTGGAGATCTCTGCCCAAATGCCTACTTCCAGCCCCATAACTCCTCCTTGTAACTCATGTGCACAATCCTAAATCCAGGGGTGACTAAGGAATTACTTGTTTTTACCAGATGGTTCCTTGCCTTTGTTTTTGTTGTATTATCAGTACTCACAGAAGCATTAGGTATATCTTTGAGTGGTTACGTGTCCATAATTCAACTTATGGTTACTTATCTATAATTAATCTGGAAAGAGACCACACTGTTTTAATTGTAATAAATTTTGTTAGAGCAAAGGAAAGCCAGAGCTTTCCAAACACTTGGGAAGTTGTGGTTCTTCTGCCCTATTCCTCCTTTGTAACAGCCAGGAAGAAGGAACAAAAGGGAAAGGAAGAGATTAACTGCCTTAACTTAACACTTGGAGCTGTAAATCACGTGCTGCCGTGTGGTGGTGGGACGTTGCATCAGACAAGGCAGTTGTAGAAATGCAGTAGCACTGCTCTGTGCCTTGTCCTAAAGTCTCAGCTCCAAGTTTATATCCTTTTGGTTCTGCCAAGAAGAAAGGTACTTGAATTTCATTGTAGATTCACCGTGATGTTTTCTTGGTCTCGGACGGGAGAATTTTTTTGTAGGAGATATAGGTAAGCCCCAGCATGCTTGGTCTCCTGTTGTTATGTGCAAGTAAGGAAGCACTGAGGTTTCTTCACACCTTCCTGGAAGTCTGGCAGGAAAGCTGGGAGGTATTATGTCAAGGGTGTAATGTCCTTACTCTCAGACCGTTAGTTTTGAAAGTGTTTGTAATATTTCCTGAGTATTTCACATTCCATCTCTGTCAAGATTTAAAAGATAGTGGCTACAAGTTTATCCTGATAAATAGGGATGGGAATGGCTAGTCAGGAGAAGGGTAGGAGACACCCAGTCCCCCAGTGCTGTCTAGTCAGAGTATTGTCTTTGTTTTTAGTCTGCTTTATTGATTTATTTTTGTTGTTGTTGTGGAGCTTAAACTCTGGGCCTGGGCACTGTCCTTGAGCTCTTCAGCTCAAGGCTACACCCTAATACTTGAGCCACAGCGCCACTTCCAGTTTTCAGGTGGTTAATTGGAGATAAGGATCTCACAGACTTTCCTGCCTAGGCTAGCTTTGAACTACCATCCTCAGATCTCAGCCTCCTGAGTAGCTAGGATTACAGGTGTGAATCACTGGTGCCCAACTAGTCTACTTTATTATAAAAGAAAATTCTTGGTATAGAAGAAAAAACAAGTGAAATAATATAGAAATTCAACTTTTATTTGAAACATAAAATGTTCTAGGGACAAAACTGATGTCTAAATTGTGGGAAGTGGTAGTGTCTGGGGATCTTTGAATTCTTACCTCCTAGAACTACATCTAGATTTTTTTTTTTTTGGTTGGTCATGGGGCTTAAATGCTGGGCCTGAGCACTGTCCCTCAGCTCTTCAGCTCAAGGTTTGTGCTCTACCACTTGAGTCACAGCGCCACTTCTGGTTTTCTGGTGGTTTATTGGAGATAAGAGTCTCATGGACAAAAAAAAAAAAAAGAAACACACAATGGTAGGGCTGGGAATGTGGCTCAGTGGTAGAATGCTTGCCTTGCATGCCTGAGGCCCTGGGTTTGATTCTTCAGTACCACATAAGCAGAAAAAGCTGGTTGTGGTGCTGTGGCTCAAGTGGTAGAGTACTAGCCTTGAGCTGAAGAGCTGAGGGACAGCGTCCAGGCCCAGAGTTCAGGCCCCATGACCAACCAAAAAAAAAAAAGTCTCATGGACTTTCCTGCCCTGATGGCTTTGAACCACAGTCCTCAGATTTCAGCCTCCTAACTAGCTAGGATTACAGGTGTGAGCCATCCGCGCCCGGCACATCTGAAATTTGAACTGAAAAACTTCTGTGGTTTACCTCAGAATTAATCCAGTGGCAAGAAGGTTGTCTGACATTATTTATTGAAATGAAATGATAAGTACATGGAGTTCATTATATTATGTTTAGTAGCCAGGCGCTGGTAGATCACACTTGTCCTAGCTATTCAGGAGGCTGAGATCCGAGGATCATGGTTTCAAGCAAGCCTGGGACAGGAAAGTCTGTGAGATGTTTATGTGCAATTAACCACCAAAAAGCCAGAAATGGTAGACCACCAGCCTTGAGCACAAAAGCTCAGGGATAGCACCCAATCCCTGAGTTTAAGCCCTAGGACAAGCACACAAAGGTCTAGTTTGAAGCTAAACTTTGTTATTAACTATACACCATTAATAAATTGTTCTACCTTAGTCTGCTTTTTTTTTTTTTGTCAGTCATGGGCTGGAACTCGGTCTGGTTGCTCTCTCTCAGTTCTTCAGCTCAAGGCTCTAACACTTGAGCCACAGTGCCACTTCCGGTTTTCTAGTGTGGTTTATTGGAGATAAGAGTCTCACGGGGCCGGGTGCTGGTGGCTTACGCCTGTAATCCTAGCTACTCAGGAGGCTGAGATCTGAGGATCTCAGTTCAAAGCTAGCCCGGGCAGGAAAGACTATGAGACTCCTATCTCCAATAAACCACCAGAAAACCGGAAGTGGTGCTGTAGCTCAAGTGGTAGAGCACTGGACTTAAGCAGAATAGCTAAGGGACAGTGCCCAGGCCCAGAGTTCAAGCCCCATGACTGACCAAAAAAAAAAAGTCTCATGGACTTTTCCTGCCTTGGCTGGCTTTGAACCAAGATCCTCAGATCTCAGCCTCCTGAGTAGCTAGGAGTACAGGCGTGAGCCACTGGCACCTGGCTTCAGTCTTCATTTTTTAATCTGTAGAGTGCAAATAATAAAACTAGCCACACAGCGCTTTTTATGTTGATTCCATGTAGAATAAAATAATAAAACCAGCTGCATAAGACTTTTGTGAGGGCTGGGAAGGTAGCTCAGTGGTAGAGCGCTTGCCTTGCATGCCTGAGGCCCTGGGTTTGATTCTCAGCACCATATAAGCGAAAAGAAAAAGAGCCAGAAGTGGTGCTGTGGCTCAAGTGGTAGAGCACTAGCCTTGAGCTGAAGAGCTGAGGGACAGCACCCAGGCCCAGAGTCCAGGCCCCACAACCGGACCCAAAAAAAAAAAGACTTTTGTGAGACTTTTGTGATTGTGTGCGCATCACATAACACAAAGTAGACGCTTGAAAATTGGTAATGATCATATCTATAAGCAGAAAAAAAATGAGGGTGTCTAAAGACCTTCCACATGAAACACGAGCCTTCTAGAGGCTGTGCATCTCTTGGGTTGGAGTGTACTAACTTGAGCTTCGTTTTACAGCTCAGGTGCCTAAAAGGCCAGAGGAGCTTCTCAGGCCAACCTCCTTTTGATGGAATCCACATCGTCAACCATTTGCTGGGAGATGAAGACTCCTTCCATTCCTCTGATGAAGATTTTATAGAAAATTCCCTACAGGAAAGTGTCATTGCTTTTCCTTTGCCTGGGAAACCTGACCCAATGTCTTTGGACCCCACTGAGGCAGATGGTAGTGAGAGTGAAACAGAAGACGGTGTGCTAGAAACCCAAGAGCCCAAGAGAGTGGTTGGGAAGGAGCGGCTTCCACACAGAGAATCATACTCAACCACTGTCTGACCTTCACTGTGACTTCCACTGGATTCTCCAAGGAATCGGTTTCCATATGATTAGGGAGTTTTGGAATATAGCTGTTTCATATGTACATAGACATATATATTTTATGATCTTATCTGCCTTTTATCTTTGCCAAACTTTCACCACTGATTTTCCATTGCCATAAAGTAGACTGGGATATGGTTAATGGTAAAATAAGGTTCTAACAGTATTACTGATTATTAATGTTTCTTGTTTAGTAAATAAGACTGTAACTCAATGTGGGGACCAATTTGAAGTTACAAAACAATGGAAAACTTTAGTTTTCTTCAGACAAAACTGCTCTTGTGCAATATTTTATGCTGAGTAAACAAATTGTATATTTATGTTTACCAATTTGTTTTCAAGATAGCTTACTAGACATTTGACCAAGATATATTTGATTTACCATGTGTTATGTTGGAGATTTTATTTTCCACTAGTGGACCACTAATGAACTTTTAGTGGACCACTAAAAGTTCTAAAACACAAAGCTTTTTTCTTTATAATTTTATAAACACAAGCTAATTGTTACCTGTTTTGAGTTAAGATTTGTTTTACTTTCTAACTTGTATGTGTGTATGATACTTCCATGTGTTGGTTACTGTTCAGGTGGTAGGTTAACTACAAATAATATATTTGTACATATTTATGTCTGTACTACCCAAACATTGGATATGATTTTATATAAAGAATCTACATGTTGCAAAATGACTGCTTTTAGCCTCCTAACAGGACTTCTGTAAATAATAGGTTGAAAGAAATAAAATCAGACACTAATATTTTAATAGCTCTAGTATTTTGCTTAGCATACCACAGTATTCACTGACTGCTATTCAGAAACACTGTCAGTGAGATCTTCATGTATATGTAATTTAAGCAGTGGACCAAGGGTCCAAGATGCAAAACAATTATGTCTACAATAACCTGTGAATATTATCTTCAGATTCTCTTGTTTCTGATCAATAGAAAAAGCCATAAGACTTCTTTCCTATTAGTTCTTGCTTTTGTATCATTTAGACTACACCTCCCAGAAACCTGAATGCCTGTCATTAATAAATAGTAAGAAAAACCCAAATTATATTTCCCTATGGAAAGACCACAGGAATGTGTTGCCTGGATACTTTCGACTGTCACTGTCAGTGGCAGTCTGGATAAGAATAGCCATAGAGAATAAGAGGAATGTAGAATTCAGTATGTATGCAAGTACAGTTTTGCACAGTCTTGCGACACAGGAGAGAGAGAGAGAGAGAGAGCAAAAAAAAAAAAAAGATGAGCTGGAGTAGAAGAGACCAAAGTAGTATTCTATTTACAACCAGACATAAGGCCTTATACTACATTGATTGTGGGGTAGGCCTTTCCAGAAAGGCCTTAATATCTGTTTGCCTGAGAAATGAAATTGACGACATACCTTCTACGTCTGGAGCACCAGGTTATAAATTCAGATCTCTTGGACACCAAAACTTTCAAAATGGTCTACCTTGATCCCCTTCTTTCTTCGAGTGATTTATGTACCTCTGGTTTAATTTTTTTTCCTGAATATATGGAGACAAAATGTGTGCCTATCAGCACGCTTCAACCCTCTGCAGTTGAGGAAATATAGATCTACTCCTGGAAGTGACAGCCCTCCTGGAATCGGGAGTGCTGGGGATTCGGCTTTTTAATGTTGTACCAGGAGCCAAAGTGGTCATTGCTTAAGGAAAATGAGACAATGCACAGCTCTGTTACTTCTGTCACTGCCCTCCACCCACCATATCAGAATATCTGAATGAAATGTGGAGTGTATGTAGTTCAGTGGTTGAGTGCTTGCCTAGCATCTGTGAGGTCCTGGCTTTGATTTCCAACACCACCGAAAAAAAAAAGTAGGCTTTACCCAGGAATCAGCAAACCACAGCTCACAAGTTAACTCCAGTCAGCTGACTGGTTTTAATTTTCTGAATAGTTGGGGGCAAATTCAAGAGAGTAATTGAATCACTGGAAAATCACATGGAATTCATATTTCAGTGACCACAAATTGTTTTATTGGAACACTTATGTCTATCATATTGTTGGTGACTGATTTTTGTGCTATAATTGGCAGAGTTGAGTTGTTGGAGTGGAGACTACAAGGCTCATATAGCCAAATATTAGTTACCTGACCCTTTACAGACAAAGCTTGATGTAGATACTTCAAATTATGAAGTTTATTTCTTTACTTTGGCTTTTGTTGTTGAGCTAATGATTTACAAGCATAAGATTTTCTGGCAGCCTTATACCCCCAGAAATATTCCAATGGCCAGTGTTGCAGCAGTTTTTTTTGTTTTTGTTTTTTTGGGTCCAGTCGTGGGGCCTGAACTCTGGGCCTGGGCACTGTCCCTCAGCTCTTCAGCTCAAGGCTAGCACTCTACCACTTGAGCCACAGCGCCACTTCCGGCTTTTTTTTTCTTCTGCTTATGTGATGCTGAGGAATCGAACCCAGGGCCTCGAGCATGCAAGGCAAGTGCTCTACCACTGAGCCACCTTCCCAGCCCCTGTTGCAGCTGTTTTATATGAGAAAGTCTTTGGTTCCACAGAAAACCTTGGAAGGATATCTGTACCACTGGAGGAGAAAAAAATTCTAAAACATGCATCATTGATCTTTAGAGTATGCTTCATTGAGTAAATGCTATAATTTAACTATAAAATAGCATCTTTGTAAACTCACCTTTGAACTCCCAAAATTCCAAAGTTTGAAGGAGTGTGTGTGTGTCTGTATCTGTCTGTCTGCCTGTCTGTCTGTCTGTCTGCCTGTCTGTCTGTCCTAAGGCTTGAAATCAAGGCCTGGGCATTGTCCCTGAACTTGTTTTGCTCAAGGCTAGCACTCGACCACTTGAGCCACAGCTCAAGTTAGGGTTTTTTTGTTTGTTTGTTTTTGTTTTTGGTAGTTTAGTGGAGACTTTCCTGTTCAGGCTGGCTTTTGAACTATGATCCTCAGAACTCAGCTTACTGAGTAGCTAGGATTAGGTATGAGCTACTGGTGCCCAGCTTGAAGAATATTGTGAAGTAGAGCTCAGTGGTAGAACATTTGCCTGGTGTGTGCAAAATCCTGGAATTGATCCAAAACTCCACATGCACACAAAAAAAGATATGCTTATAAAGTTTCCTAACTACAGTGTCTGACTAGAACTACGTGTTAAATTAACTATGGTAAGTAAATCTTAATTTGTTGATGCTCTTGTAATACAACAAAAAGCCAGAAAAAAAACACTGATTCAAGCCAGTTATGCTACAATCACAGCTACTCAGGAGGCTGAGGCAGGAAAATCACTTGAGTACAGGAAGTCAAGACCAGTCTAGGTAACACAGGCTTTTAAAAATTCATTCAGATACACCTTACTTAGCTTTGAAATCTTTCTTGCCTTTAGGATGCAATGGGATACTATGCCCTGATGACACCATTTCATTCACTAATGTAAGTATATTGTAAGAATTTGAGCTGGGTGCTGGTGACTCACACCTGTAATTCTAGCTACTCAGGAGACTGAGATCTAAGGATCATGGTTCCAATCCAGCCCAGGTAGGACATTCACGAGACTCTTATCTCCAATGAACCACCAGAAAACCAGAAGTGGAGCTGTGGTTAAAATGGTAGAGTGATTGATTGCCTTCAACAGAAGAGCTCAGGGATAGCTCCCAGGCCTGAGTTCAAGCCCCACATCAGACCAAAAAAGAAAAGAGAAAAGAGGAAAGAAGGAGAGAAAGAAAAGAAGAAAGAAAGGAAGTTGAGACATTGAGGTGGATGGCTTTTAATTAATCTAATATTTTGTGTCATTTAAATGTTATTCATGGAATAGTTGAATATTGAGAAGAGTAAATGAAATGACACAATGGAGAATTTTGCTCCTTTGGAGTAGTTCTTGGTGGAGTCATCACCCTGGGCTGAGATGCTGAAAGCGGAGGCCGCAGTGCAGATTACAGTGAAATAATGAAGCAGAGATCTTAAGATTTAGAAAGCACTTTGACTTTAATTTTTTTTTAATTTTCTTGGGAAAAGAGGCCTAAAGACGTAAATTCACACAAAATTCACATAAATATCTACCCTGCTGGGTCTTTTTTTTTTTTCTTTTCTCTTTTTGCTAGGCAGTAGACATTCTGTGCTTGCTGACTAATAGAGACATCAGACTATGTCTAGAAAAAATTTTCTTTTGGCTCAGAACATGATGTAGCATGTTACTCCCCAGCTAGTGCCTTTGCTGGAAAATAATGAAGTGTATTATTTTTGATACCATAAAGAATCATTTGGTTCTTCACTTGCCATTTACATAATGCATTGTGATCTTCAGATTTAAAGAAAGTACTTTGTGTAATGTGTTGGTAAAGCTTTTTATGACCAGCTTGATTATTGTATAGTACTTGACATTGACAGCTTTTATTCTGTAAAATTAGTGGTTTACTTATTCAGACTGGAGTTGTAGCTTGAAAGTTGTTACTGCTCTGTTTTAACAAAACTTGTTTTTAAAAAGGTATTAATTCTACTGAAATTAAAAATCTCTAGTTAAAAGTAGAGCAGATCCTACTTAGAATCTGTGTTTTCATATCACATCCTTTCTTTCCACTCCAAAGAAGATGATAGAACACATTGCATATACTACAGAGATGTGGGGTTATAATGTATTTAATTTTACTGTTGTAATTTTTTATTATAACATTGTATGGTAACCTAAAATGTTTACTTGTGCCTTTACTTTAAACAATTAAAAGTTTTCCGTTTTATAAGAATTTGTTTCTTTAAACTATTCAACTTTATTTTATTTTATTTTATTTGTTATTTTTGGGTCTGGTCGTGGGGCCTGAACTCTGGGCCTTGGCACTATCCCTCAGCTCTTCAGCTCAAGGCTAGCGCTCTACCACTTGAGCCACAGCACCACTTCCGGCTTTTTTCTTTTTGCTTATGTGGTACTGAGGAATCGAACCTAGGGCCTCAGGCATGCAAGGCAAGCGCTCTACCACTGAGCCACATTCCCAGCCCTTTATTTTTTTATTTTTATTTTTTAATTTTTTATTTTTTTTTTGGTTCGGTCGTAGGGCCTGAACTCTGGGCCTGAATGCTGTCCCTCAGCTCTTCACCTCAAGGCTAGCGCTTTACCACTTGAGCCACAGCGCCACTTCCGGCTTTTTTTTCCTGCTTATGTGGTGCTGAGGAATCGAACCCAGGGCCTCATGCATGCAAGACAAGCACTCTACCACTGAGCCACCTTCCCAGCCCAACTATTCAACTTTAAAAGAGGAAGGATATCCTAACACTGTTGTCATTACTGAGGTTTGTGTGTCTTAAGCACAGGGACTGCTTCTACCTGGTCTACAGCAATCTGCTGCAGGATTGCTGTTCAGTAAATCATTTTTAATTTCATGAAAATCCAAACATCTGGATTTTTTTTCCTTCCAGTTATTTAAGTAACTATCTGTGGCAGCTAGGAGTCAGTGACTCATGTTTCTAATCCTAGTTAAGAGCCTAAAATCTGAGGACGCTGATTCGAATTCAGGCAGACTTTTCCACCAAGACCAGGCACTGGTGGCTCACGCTTGTAATCCTAGCTACTCAGGAGGCTGAGATCTCAGGATTGTAAGTGGTTCAAAGCCAGCCCCAGCAGGAAAAATCCACAAGATCTTACCTCCAATTAACTCGCAGAGAACTGGAACCAGTACTGTGGCTCAAAGTGGTAGAGTGCTAATCTTGAGCAAAAAGAGCTCAGGGACAAACCCAGGCCCTCAGTTCAAGAACTACAATGGACAAAAATAATAATAACCACCAAAAAGACGGAAGGGGACCCGTGGCTCAAGTGGCAGAGTACTAGCCTGCGTCAAGAAAAGCCCAGGGATAGCAGCAGGCCCTTAAAAAAGAAGTGGCAATTTCACTTTTGTAGTTTAGATTATTAATGATCAATTCCATAAATACATTCAGATTTATCATTTGAGTTAACAAGCACATGGAATTAATTGTAAGAGAAAAGTTACACCTTCTGCAACTTTATCACATGTATCATGTAATGTAAAATGTGATAACGAGTTAACAGATAAATGAGAAAGTAGAATGCAAAATATACGAAAATATTAGCCATAAAAAAAGAACTAGCCGGGCATTGGTGGCTCACACCTGTAATCCTAGCTACTCAAGAGGCTGAGATCTGAGGATCACAGTTCAAAGCCAGCCCAGGCAGGAGACTCATCTCCAATACAACACTCAGAAATACAGAAGTGGTACTGTGGCTCAACTGGTAGAGCACTAGCCTTGAGCTGAAGAGCTCAGAAACAATGCCCAGCCCCAGAGTTCAAGCCCCACAACTAGCAAAAAAGTTCTGATGCATGAATCAGTATGGAAAATATGCCAATATGGAATCATACAATGACTTCCACAAGATCTTAGAATAGGCAGTATCATTGAAACAAATACAGCAGTCATTTACCAGGGGAGATGTATTAGGTGGATACAAAGCTGCTGCTTGAAATGCTGGCCAGGGTGGTAGACACATAACCCCATCACTCAAAAGGCATGAAACCCTATCTCAAAAACATGGGAAGTGAAAGACATACTGAATCTACTTAAAACCAATAATTTGCACACTTAAAAGGATTTAAAAGTAGGCATATTAAGAACATAAGTGACAGTATGTAAATTCAAGCCCTTCAAATAAAGATACTTAGAAGGAAAACCTAAAACCTGAAGAACTACAAAATCAACAGTATTCGTGAAATAGGTGTCTGGACGTAGTTTTGTCACTAAACAGGCTCTGGGCTTTGTGTTGATTACACCTGGACAAATTGCAGCTCTTGATGTCCTTGGTCAGTGAGAGCCTTCCTGACCCAGTCTCTCTTCCTAACTGCTCTGCCATCAC